GGATTAGCCGGGGGCCAACAGATGAACAAACACTTAGAAATATTTCTAAGTCCTAAACATTGCGCCCTCGGTGAAAGGTTCAACTGACTAAAGATTACTAGTAGCCGAGGGCTACAAGAAGCACTACACTTGGAAGAATATATTCTAAGTCCTAAACATACATTCAGAAAAGCGAAGGCATACATTCAGAAAAGCGAAGGCATACATTCAAAGAAGGGCGAAGGCATACATTCAAAAGAAAACGACGGCATACATTCGAGAAGAAACGAATTAAAGAGGACAAGTCATATACACAAAGCCCGAAGGCAAGCATTCATTCGTCAAAAAGAGGAAATTCAAATGTATATATTACATTGTGACCGAGGCCGAGAGTACACCAATATTACAAACAAGAAGGAAAAGTGTTCAAAGAGCTATTAACTACAAGTGTTTTCTTCAGCTGCTGCCTCCTCGGCGGGCTACGAGGTGACCTCCTCCCCGATGGCGTCCTCGGCATCACCATCGCCGGATCCCCCCATCATCATGGAATCATGGATCACAGGCCTCTCTTCGCCCGGGGGGAGGGGGTTTCTCACGTCTGGCTGCAGAGGAGGAAGGCCATACGCCGAGGGGTCGAATTCCTCGAGGAAGACTTGGAAGTGCCTGGCTAGCCTCCGGTACACAAGGTGTTGGGTGAAGAATTCACCCCCTTGGTAATAACTATCTCCCCTTTCCGCCATCCAGTCTCCCCCGGGGCCCTTCACCCAGTCATCCACCGATGACTCCACAACCGAGGCCACCCATTGCCGCCTATCTTCGGCTTTCCAGCCCTCGGCCATGAATGCGGCAACAGCTTCTTTCCGGGCTTTGCGACGGCCTCGGCCTTAGCAAGCTCTGCCTCCTAGGCGGCTTTCTTAGTTGCCCTCTCGGCCTCAAGCCTGGCTTCCTCCGCTGCAGCTTTAGCCTTCAGCTCAGCTCCCTCGGCAGCTTTCCGGAGATCTTCCTCCAGCATGGCCATCTGCTTTACAGCATCGGAGTTCTTCAGGATGAGCTCCTTCATCTCCCGATCTTGCTCCGCCTTCCGGATGCGCCATTGCTCAAGCCTCTGTGCGTGCTCCCCGAGGGCTACGCAAGCCTGATAAACAACAGGGGGAGGGGTCAGGTTAACATGAAAAGAGCATTAAAAGTTAAACACAAAACCTAAAGGAACGAACTTACAGTTAATGAAGACCGAAGGATCCTGTTCTCGAGGGCCTCATCATCATAGGTTGAGAGGGCAGCCTTGTCCATTAACGAGGTCATCCCCCTCAAGAAAGCTTTCGGCTCTGCTGAGCCATGTAGGACGGAAGCCCCCGGGGCCAAGGAAAGTTGCAGGATCTCCCGAGGGGGGCTTCTCAAGGGAGGATTGGCTTGGGTTGTCGCCGCATCATCAACTGGGGGATCCGGAGAAGGGCGATCCTCAATGATCACCAAGGGGGCATCCTGGCCGATGGTTCCCCCTGTACCCCTCTGCTTCTTAGCCGGGGGCTCTACCGCCTTGCTCTCCTTCTTCTTTTTGGTGGCCCCCTCGGCCACCCCGGCAACTCCCTCCGCAGCAGAGGGCTCCGGAGTCTCTTTTTGGAAGAAGGCTCCCACAGGCAGTTGGACCGAGGGGTCCTTCTTCTGGGCTTGGGTTTTTCCCTTCTTTTTCTTCAACGCAAAAAGTTTACCAGCGTCCATATTAACACCTGCCAACAAAAACAAAGGGGTTAGACCGAAGGGAAAGAGAAAAAAAAGGGAGAAAAAATCCTAAGTACAAAAAAAGGGAAGCCCTCAGATACTACCTCCTGCCAACACAGGATATTTCTCGTCTGTTTCGCCGAGGAAGCGATATCTGCGAAAGCCGAGGGCGAATAGCTCCTTGTCAGCAGTGAAGTCCTTAATGGACACTTGCTTCGTGCGACCCTCCGGGATCTTGGCTATTATCAAGCCATCCTTCTCCAGAGCAGCACTTCCGACCTTCGGATGCCGACGGAAGCGATCCCGAAGTTCCATAGGAAATGGGCTCTCGGCAATTCTAACGTAGCACCACCGCTCCTTCCAGCCTTTGTTGGACGAGGGCGCTTCTGTGAATAATTTCCACCGAGCCACCTGTTGCAGATTGGCGAAGCCCTCGGCGTTCGCGTGACCCCCTCGACAGAGGTTGAAGCTCTGAAAAACAAGTCCAGGCTCGGGGTCACCCCTCGGGCCCGGCAGAGGTTCAGGAAGCCCGCCACGTAGGAGTGGCTGTTAGGCGTCAACTGGAAGGGGACCAAGCCCACATACCGGAGATACTCCCGAAGGAATGGGTGCAGGGGGAACCGGAACCCCAATGACACCGACAGAATGTGTACGGCGATGCAACCCTCGGGAGCCCGGGAAAGCACGTCATCAGGGCCCGGCGCCACCACCACAGCCGAAGGACCCACGTGCAGCTGAGTCACGTACATATCTTCCCTGTCAGCCTTCGACCCTATCTCCAGGGCAGCAGTATTCAGCCAGGAGTACCCCTCGGGCACATCTATGGGCTTCCCCTGATCAGCAGCAACACATTTCTTCTTAGGAGCGGTTTTCTTCTTCTCCTGTTTTTTCCCGGGGGCCACTCTTATCGGCGTCGGGTTGAGGGGCCGAGAGCTCCCTGCCTCGCCAGCACCCCGAGGGGGAAGAACAGCCACGGTCACCCTCAACCTCTCCTTCTCTTCCTCCTCCTCTGCAACTTGTACGGCGAGGGCAAGCTCTTCATCCTCCGCCTCTTGCTCGAAGCCCTCGGCTTCGACTTCGGCCACCAACTCCTTCTGCACTTCCACCGCCATCGCGACATCCTCCTGGGCCGAGGGCTCGCTCGAGGACCCCGCGTCCGAGAAGCTCTCCTCTTCCATCGAGGGATCCCTCGATATGTCCTGGGAATCACTTTGAGAGGACATCTTTCCACTGGTTCGAGGGCTCGAAAACACTAAGTGTTCTAGGTTACAGTCCTAGATCTAAGGCCGCTACAGCTAGCTAAGGAGGGAGAAGAACAGATGGGGGAACTGACCTTAAAGCGGGAGTTAGATCGAGGGCAATGTTTCTCTCTCTAGAAAAAATCCGGTAGAGCTTCGCTAACAAGTAATCGCACAGGGAGAATGGTGTCCGGCCATGGGGTATTTATAGGCAAAGGAATCCGGGCTTGGGCCTGAAAACCGGGCCTCCGGTTGGACTGCCATCATTACAAACCGTGGTTTCGCCCAATCGGTGACGCCCGCCCACGGGCAGCCAACGAGCACACACCACGTGGCAACAACCCCCCCCCCCCCCCAACGGCTATATCCTGACGTTAGATATTCCAACGGCTATATCTCCAACGGCTATATTCTGGGAGCTCCCGACTACACTTGGCAGACCACTCCTTCATCAACCAATAAACTGGCCCCCGGGTTCTTACTTCACTCCACTTCATCAAGAAGAGCCTCCGGGTACACTTACCCAGAGACGCTCCCGGGTTGTGTCCCACACAGTACATGACAAATGCCTTCGGGGTCACTCCTTCAGAAGCCCCCGGCTTCATAACAAGCCCACCCCTCGAGGATCCCCCCCTCAGCACTTTGAGGGCCGGGTAGCCCCCGGGGAGTACGCCTCGTTAACAGGTAGTCTACGGCACACAGGTAATGGGAGCCCTCGGGTACCCTCCTCACCAACTGAACAACAAACAGGGGACACCCCGGCAACACTTCAAACTGCTACTCACATTCATGATGCCCTCGATCCCCAGATTGAGGGACTCCCCTTCGGCACCTCCCAGGATATCGACAGCAAGCCTCCGGCTAATCAACACATGAGCCCTCAGGACAAGACAGGAAAACAAAGTTACTGGGAAAAACGGCGAAAATCAGTAGCCCTCGGCACCTGGAGCCCTCGGCACTAAGGGGGTCCCCGGTACTCAGAGCCCTCGGCTAGTCATCTACTGCCGAGGGCGCCTTTTCCGACACAATATCCGCTCCACATGCGTATGGATCACCTTACCCTGTACAACGTCCCATCCAACAGCCGCATTAAATGCGGCCACATGCGTTTGTCAGCGCCAACCAGTTGAGGTGACCTCTCGGCCAATGGACGCTTGACACGTGTCCCTGTCTGGCATTTATTGCTACTATAAATAGCACCCCATTCCCCCATTTGTAACCAAGTCACAATACACACGCTGCATACTTTCTAATATACTTTCTCTCTCTACTTACTTGCTCTGACTTCTCTCTAGTTATTCCCCGTAATAACCCCTCGGATAAGTTACCCCCCGGGTACACTGTCCATCAATGTCACACTATGATATTTATTTTAGAAAATTACCCTACCATATGTACATGCAAAGATGCAACCGTTAGACAAAAATCTTTTTCTTTACTTTTGTTGATAACATTTGTACACAAATTCTAAGAATCTTTCTATTTAAGAATCTTTCTATAGAACTACAATATTATACTCCCTCCATCTCACAAAACTTGGTCAATTTGACTTTTCTTGGTCACTGGTAATAAACTTCGAATAATGATTTTAGTTATTATATTCATGTAAAACTTATAACTTTTATACTTTTATGAAAGTACTTTTAACAAAGAACATTTTCATATAATTTTCATATTTGAAATAATTACATATTAAAAAATATCAAGGCTCAAACTTAGCCATTATTAACCAAGAAAAGTCAATATGACCAAGTTTATGGGACTGGAAGAATACAAAAGAGTAAGATTTATCTTCTCTTTCTAAATAGTTGTCAAATTCCACCATATAACATCCACATGCACTTATATTCATTTCAACTTCTTTTTCCATTTGGACCTATTTGGTGCTCCTTTTTTTTACACCGAAAGGCAAATCACCAAAATCAGTTGGGCAAATGCCGGGGGACATTTACCAGATATTATTAGAAATAGAAGAAATTACAAAATCAAGGGGACCAAACCTTACTTGATAAATCAAATTACAATCTAATAGAGAGAATACCAAAAAAATTCATCCAAAAGGCTCTTTTTGCAGGAGTAGGAAGCTGATCCAGCCCAGAAAAAACCTTTAACCCGTCCGTCTGGAATTGGGCCATATGATGTGCAACCCAGTTGCATTCTCGTTTCATCTGTCCGAAATCCACCCCTTTCCTAAAAGCTAGGTCTGTGACTTCCTGAATATCACTCGCCCATTTGCTCTTCTTGCCCGCAATATACTCCATAGCCAACGTAGAATCTGATTCCACCTGAAAGTCAACAAAACCCTCCTCCATCGCCCAACGAGTAGCGGAAAGGATGGCCTTCAATTCAGCCTCCAAGGAGGATGTTGCACACATCGGGAAGCAAATCGCCATTACAAATCCTCCTCTTCGGTCACGCGGAACAGTTCCTCCTCGAGCCTTACCAGCTAAGTATCCTACATCCACATTAATTTTCCATTTCTTGACTGGTAGCTGCCATTTGATAATATGAGGTTTATAACCTTGTAAGCGAAAATGTTTAGGAATCAAGCCCTCCTGAAAAAGAATATCTCCTGTAATCCGAATCTTATGTGTAGGCAAAGAAGCAACCCAACTCTGGGTATACATCTTAACTTGAAGGATGATATAATTAGGGTTAGATATCCCACCCCAGAATCCCAAATATGATTGGTGTACTCCTTCCATATTATCCAACAGATAATCCCAGGCAAACTCTGTTTAAAAAAATCAACCAAACTTATAGGACCATTTCGCAATTTCCAATAATGTAAATGGCTATAATCCACACCAGGTGGTTGATAGATACCAAAAATACTGAAAAAATATCTCCACACCTCTTTAGCCACGTGACATTGATAGAACAGATGTTGCATAAAGTCACTATGACATCTGCAAAGGGGACACATTGATGGGTTCAACACAAAATGAAATCTGCTAAGGTTATCTGCAGTGGGCAGAATACCCTTAACAATTTTCCACTGTAAAAGCTTCATTTTTATTTCAGTCTTGGCTTCCCAAATTTGCAGATAAACAAGATAATTGAAAGCTAAATCTTTTACTTCCTCATAAGCAGATTTAATAGAAAACCGATCATCATTTTCTTCATTCTAGTATATCTTTCCAGTTTGATCCATGGTACACAATTCTGACCCAAGAGCATCAGAAGAGCAAATACGCCTCCAAATACGCCTCCATGGTATCATAATATCATTTCTTCCATACCTATTTGGTGCTCCTATTTCCAATTTATTAATGATGTTAATCAACTTTTAGATAATACGTTATTATTATAAACTTATAATAAAGAGTAATAGCATGACATATTTAGATATATTCTCTTGACATACTTAGATGATTTGTAATATTCTCAATTATGTATAAATCCCCCATAATCCTCTTGTAATTAATCCCTTCCTTGGATACTATCATTATTCTTGTATAAATTGTGGTAATACAAAGATGATAGATTCTATGGTACCTATAAGGTACCATACCTTTGTCCACATGGACCAATGAAAATGTAGCAGTTGAATTATTTAAATCTAAATTAAAAATGATAAAGTGATATGGTCAAATCAAATGAATGATAGGTACGGTACCCCATTTTTTAGAAAGGTAAAGGAGTTGTCACCTACAAAGAATACGCCTGAAGGGGTTTTATTCAATCTCCTATATGGTATCAGACTAGGTCGATACTACTCCCTTTCCGCCATGGCTGCTGAATCCTCCACGCCAAGAACAACTATTCATCCTGCCCTCACTATTAACAACATTAAAACTCACATCCCAATCACACTTGATCTCAAGGATGATGAATATTCATCCTGGGTTTTCCTGTTTGAACTTCACCTTGAGGCACATAACCTCATGTTTCTCATAAACCAGGATCCTGCTCCCAGCACAATTGATGTACCCACCCGCAAACAGCTTGATGCATTGGTTCGGCAGTGGATGTTCTTCACCATGTCAAAGGACTTGATGCTCACAGTTCTCAAGTCTGGGAAAACTTCCAAGGATTTGTGGGAGCACCTCAAAACTCTGTTCCAGGACAATAAAGGGACTCGTGCAGCAACTCTGGAGAGTAAATTTGTCAATCTCAAGCTCACTGATTGTTCTGACGTCGACGATTACTGTGATAAGCTCAAAGCTATCTCCGACCGTCTCCAGGATCTCGAGTTTCCCATGGATGACAAGCGGTTGGTCATACAGCTTGTCAATGGCCTCCCACCAGAATATGATACTGTAGCTTCGCTCATCTCACAGACCATGTCGTCTTTTGAGGCGGCTCGGTCACAGCTTCGCACAGAGGAACACCAATCTTCTGCCGGTCCGCCCATTGCTCTGGCGACTCCAGAACCTGCTGTCCCTGCTGCTTTCATCGCTCCATCACCAAATCAGGCTCCCACCCCTTCTCGCCAAGCTTCACCGCGTTTCTCGAATCCCACAGGAGGACGCCGCAATCGCTCGAACGGTCGCCGCCCACCTGGATCTGCTCCTGTCGGCACCTTCGCTTCTGGTCGCTAGTCGTCTCCTGAGGTTCCTCCTGTTGCTGCTCCTCTGATTTCAGGCTATCCATGGCACCTTTACTGGACCGTTCCGCCTTGCCGTTATCCTACGGCGACGACGACGCCTTTCTGGTCGTGACCCTCTGCTCCAGTATCTCACACGCAAGTTTCGTCCAGGCTCCACATTTGTCTCCCTTGTGAAATGCCTTCTATGAGAAATTGCAAACCAGTAGCAACACCTGGGTGCTCCCACATTATATCGCAGTCTTACGGGTGCTCTACAGTATTTGACCTCTACTCGCCCTGATATCTCATATGCTCGTGAGCCTCAGTTTCAGGCTCTTAAACGCATCTTACGTTACTTGCAGGGAACCATTAATCACAGACTCTTCATATCTTCCAGTCCCATTTCTGGCCTTACCGCATACTCCGATTCTGATTGGGTAGGCTGCCCTCACTCACGCTGCTCTACATCCGGTTTTTGTATTTTCCTTGGTGACAATTTCATCTCCTGGTCTTCTAAACGACAGCCAACTGTTTCCCGCTCCAGTGCAGATGCTGAATATAGAGGAGTTTCTAATGCTGTTGCCGAGTCCCGTTGGCTGCGAAATCTCCTCCTTGAAATCTCTAGTAACCCTATTCAACATCATCGCATCCAGCACGTTGAAATTGATATACACTTTGTTCGCGAGCATGTTCAACTTGGAGACATTCGGGTTCTTCATATTCCAGCTGAGTATCAATATGCAAATATATTTACTAAAGGCCTTCCTCGACAACTTTTCTACCATTTTTGTGATAGTCTCAACATCCGAGCATCTCCTGCTTCGACTACGGGGTGTAATAGCATGACATATTTAGATATATTCTCTTGTCATACTTAGATGATTTGCAATATTCTCAATTATGTATAAATCCCCCATAATCCTCTTGTAATTAATCCCCTTCCTTAGATACTACCATTATTCTTGTATAAATTGCGGTAATACAAAGATTTCCCCTAAGGAGTTTTATTCAATCTCCTATAAAGAGTTAGCATTTCATTTTCGGGCCTCTATAAACGATAGTTTTATAAATCTTTTAATCTACTCATTGTATTTTCAATTTTTCTTTTGAAAATGTAATTTCAGTTTTATTACTTTTATAGTTTCTCTATTGTAGATTTTTTTGTTTACATATTAGGGATAGTAGTTTGTTGGGGTTTTAATACTTTAACATGCCATAATGCCAATAAAGTGTTTGTATATTCGGAAGAAGTGTTCACAAGTTATTTTGAATGGACCTACAAAATTAATTTCCATACACTAAATTTTTTCTTGAAGTTGAAATTGAGATTAGAAAATCTGTAGTTACCATAATACGGAGTATTTTAAAAATACTTGCAAATGTGAATTATGTAAATGTAATATGAATGAATATTATTTAACCGCGGCTTATTCTGTTTAAGATCATTTGGTAAGTTCCCCCTAGTTGCAAATTTGCAATAAAACCTAAAATAAGTTGTAATTTAACAATACAAATGAAATTTGGAGTTTCTTTAAGGGTGAACAAATTGGTGTGGTTTAATAGAACCGACTGATATCAAATTGAACTAAACCGAATCAAAATAAAGCACACATATACATGACCGATCCTGACATTTTCTAGGCGTGAGACAAGACAAAAAAATAGGCCCCTAATTATGTGTTGAAAAATGCATTACAAAAGCTTCATTGTTAAAAATAAAATTCGTTACACAAGTAAATGTTTTTATTCCTAAAACTACTCGGTATTATAAGCCATACAAAACATTTTTTAGACATTCTTAAAAGCAAAATGATCAATAATACTATTAATTTTTAGTTCTATGTTTCTGTGAGTAAGGTAGAAAGTCATCTAGTTGTGTTCCGGGTGTAGCTCTGCTGTTGTGGCTCAGTATACGAATATGAGGGTTAAGGGGCATCCTTACAAAGTATTAGAGTATAAGGAAATGATTTGGTCAGGCGCGCTTGACAAAATAATCTGGTCGATTTTTTTGATAAAATTTTGTGAGCATATTCTTCATAAAGATTAGATTATTTACACAAAATTTCAGTTTCGAATTCAATTAGGAATTGAAGTTAGTTAAATAAATTAAGAAAAATTGACAAGAATAATCTCACCTTTTACCGTTCTTCTGAAAATTATTAAGAAACATTACACTTTTTAAACATACATAAAGCGCTTTTTTGCAATAATTTATTTAACAGATTTCCCTGTCGAATTTTAAGTTTAAATTTTGTGGACCAAATCTACATTTAATGAAAAGCATGCTCACAAACTTTATCAAACAGTTTAATCCGAAAGCTCCTCAAATGGTTTGGTCATACAGAACTTCAGATCAAACACACCAGAGGTGAACGAGACTCAATATACTCCGTATATACTAATACCACTACTAAATAATTTATGAGCCCCTCTTCCTGATGACCCTAGGCAACTGCCCATCATACCCCTGTATCAGGATCGGCCCAGCACATATGTATTTTCTTTGAGTTTGGTAATATTTTTTCAAATCATATTAAATTTGACCGAACCAAATCCGCGTAAAAATGAAATAAAATTGAGTTGAACCAAAAATACAACAAAATATTATTATATTTTTAACAAATAAGAAATTCAAACCGATGAAACCAAATCAAAATATAATAGAGTGTTTTTCTTTTGATAATAATCATTCTATCAATTTATTTCAAACAGAACCAAATCCCTCATGTCTCTTAGCGATTGAATTAATTCCACTTTTGATCCTATGCATTTTATATCAATTTCATATCTAGTTCACGTTTTTCGCATTATCAATTTTAGATACTTCATTAATGTTTAATGACCTTTTGTGATTCTTTTCTTGCGATATTAACTATCAGAATGGAAAAGATCATATATGAACGAAAATACAATAATATAAAAATCATCACAATTAAAGAGGTAAACCCATTGGAACTAATTCTTATACATTTTTTAAAACATTTCACAAAAAATCGGCCCCCCATGAACCCTGGCTCCTCTTGATTCGCAAAGCTACCATCTCCAGGCGAGCTGATCGAGTTATCCTACTCACCATGCGTGTTCTCCAACGTTTCATACTCACCCGTCTCTCTACAAACCCCGCCAGTAGACTCATTTCAACGCCATTGAAGAGCATAAGCCTTTTCTCGTCGGATAGGCTGTTTTCATCCGGACCCAATAAAGGGCCGGGATCGAGTACTAATTTCGGAGATTCCAGGTCCTCTGAAGGCCTCGGGTGGGACACCGAGTCGTCCTGGTCGATCGGCTTAACAAAGGAGCATTTTGATGGGGAGGTTGTGGGGAAACAGTTGCAATCGAACACTACACGCTCGGAACCCGGGTTTAGCTCGGCCAGAATGACGGAAGATGAAATGGACACACTGAGGCGTCTGGAGGAGGAGAACCGCAAGTCGAGGGAGTTTGTGAAAGGATGGGATGGGAGGTTCAGAGACATTGCGACAATGATGAAGCAGGTGATTGCTTATCGTACATTTCATGCTTCTTTTGTTACTGAATTACTGCGGGAGACTTTACTTATTCTTTATTTTGAATCCCTTTGGAGATTTATAGCTAGATGAATGTAATTTCTCCTGGAACAGTATTTATATAAGTTGCTTATAGTAAAGAAGGAAATATATTCATTCCTAGATGCAATTATTTGAAGTAGGTTATGGAACCAGGGGCAAGGGGATCATATTTGAAGGATTCTGAGAAAACTGAAATGTACAAGAAGCACAAGGAGAATCCAGGGGTGTACACAATCGAGAAGCTAGCCAAAGAATACAGGATCATGAGGCAGAGGGTGCACGCAATTCTGTATTTGAAAGGGCTTGAGGAGGAGGAGGAGAAGAAGTTGGGACGCCCTATTCATAGCACTCTTGAAACCTTTATTGATAATAACCCGGAGTAAGTTCAAATTGGTGGCATTCGACATTATTTAATTTAATTTTAGTTGGTTTTAAATTCTAAATGTCTCTGTAGGAGGAACTAGAAGTTATATTTTGATATATGAAGGCATTAAAGAAGCTCTTTTAAACGTATTGCAGTATCTTAATGTTATGAGCTGCATCCATATCATTCTATTGTCTCCTTAATTAATTATGGGGAAAAGAGGCGTACATATTCAGCCAATGTCAATTCTCATTGTTGTCATTGTTTCAGTTGCTGTAGAGAAGGATATAGAATATATTATTCTTTTTGTGAGGGGGGGGGGGGGGGGGGGTCACCGGGTCACTGCCACTAATGCAGTGGTTTTATTTTTCCTTATTTTTTATTTGAGCACAGAAGACTTCGTTCAGGAACTACTTAATTGTTGAGGTAATTCTTGTAGCTCACCAAAGGATGCTTGTGTCAATCCACATAACTATTTTTTAAAATGTCCCTGATTCTGCTGGGAACACTATGCAAGTGTTTGAGATTTATTGGAGGTTTCTTCAAAAACTTGAGATCTAAAATGCGTAATTACTACAAAGTCTACAATATCAAACATGAGATTTATTGGAGGTTTCTTCAAAAACTTGAGATCTAAAAGGCATAACTTGAGATCAACTTATGAACCTATCAAACATTCTTCCAAAAGTTATTTTCTTCAACTGCTCCAAAGTTCATCCTTTTTTACCTATTCAAGAGATAGTGCTTTTAGACACTGTATTAGTTGGATGTTAGAACATTCCTATTCTTTCTTACTACAGGCTGGCTTTTGCTGCAGTGACCCACGGCCCATTTTATTGCAGAACTTTGACACATTGTCACCAAAACAAATGATTACTTTCTTCCACTTCTTGTCAGTTGCTAAGTGTTTGGTGCAGAAGCGCACACAATGAAATGCTTAACTATTAAAGTATTAAAACTAAAAAAATGTTTTATCAGCTAACACACCTATCTCTCTTAGTTTAGTTTTCATCCTCCATACCTAGTTCTCCAAAGTTTTCAACTTTTTATTCCTGCTGGAAAACTAAAAAATGTGCTTTAAATTTGTATTTTTTAATAAAATATGAACATCATTTAACATAGATTTTTTTGCATTATCATGATGTGAGTGGTAAGGACAATGGTGCTTAGTGGTGGTGGGAAGTAAACATGTGTGCATTGGATCTAGTCCTCTGCTTGTGAGTTGCAGTGACTTGAATTTAGGCACATGTGAAGCTAGAATTCTAAAACACAATATTGGACTAATTGGTTACTTACTAGTTGATTTCGATGCAATGGTGTTTCAAATGCAAAGATCATACTGGTTGGTTGGTTTTCACTGTTGATGAATGCGGTGTGCTTTTGAAATGTAAAAAAGATTTACCAAGTGAAGTACCCAAACAAGTAAGTATTAAATAAGATATGCATGTTTAAAAGAGACTTGAAGTATATATAATAAAAGTTCCCTGTGTTTTGCAGATTCTTCAATTCCCATGATAGAGAATTCCATGTTGCAACCCTGCCTTACAAGCCAGACTTCAAGGTTATGCCTGAGGGTTGGGATGGCACCACAAGGGACCCCGATGAGGTCCACTATGAAATATCCATGAAAGAGGATGAAATGTTGTATCAGGAGTTTGTCCAAAGGTTCAACTTCAATAAGATGAAGGTGAGAGCATACAATAAAAATGATATGCCTGTTTGAATCAAACAAAGCTAACTTTTCTCTCATTTGTCAAATAAGAGCTGGACACCAGTTCACAAGTTATATACAATAAGTTGAGTTAAACAAACAAACCTCAAAAGTGTAGGTATGAAAGTTTTATTGGGACAGAGGGAGTATAAAGTAATTGGATTTTAAATTTAAAATAATGCAACTGGATTGATAAATGTGAAACATCCATATCAGCTAGTAAGTTTTATGTGCCGTATATGTTTTAATAGTGGGGTATTCCTGCTCATGAGCAGCAGTCTGCCCTAATAGGCTTCCCACGGTCCGCCCCTAAAATAGAGATGATATCACATAGAGAGGAGCAAATATGCACCGGAACTATATGTTAGACATTTAGAGAACATATATAGCCCTCAGTTTTTTGGAACCACTAAACGCAAAGATTGTAAAGATGGAAAGGATATGCCTTTATGTCCAGTAGATGAGGGAGGGGTGTATAGTGTGTCTTTGGTCTCTTCTTGTATAGCTCAATGGCATATTTATTTTTATCTTCACAATTTTTGTGTTTATTTGTTCCAGAAAAAAATGAGGGGTATATATATGCTCTTCTGCATATAGTTCAAGGGTGTATTTGTTACTTATCCTTGATATCATGTGGGCTACAAGCCTAGCTAATATTGGCTTGACCTTAGCCCAAGGCAAAGGAAAGTTAATTATTAACTTGAGCTGCAATGGTGGTTGACTGTTCATTTTGCAGATGGAAAATAAAGTTAAGTGCCACAAGTACAGCCGGATTCGCCCTGCACAAGGATGGAACTTCACAGTTGAGAAGTTAGGGTCACGTGGAAAGCGTGGAAATGGGGGTGGTTGGAAGTTTGTCAGTATTGCAGATGGATCAACTCGTCCCCTTAATGATTTTGAGAAGATGTTTGTGAAGAGGGAAACCCCTAGGCGCCGGCAAAAGATCCTCCCGTGATTCATTCAACCTAGTGTCTGCTTTAGTGACAGCAACTTTTGTAATGCTTTGTAGGAATTTAATTGTCCTATAGTATTTCTGCATTTGATGTAGCTAATCATTTTGGTGATGCAACTTTCTTTCGATATTCTGTTACCAAAAGGGATAAAACAGGAGAAGCAGCTTCTTAGTTCTTTCTTCTTTTGTGTCAAGGGAACCAAGTGCAAATGTTTTTTCCTTTTGAGTTTTTGTGAACATTTGATATTTAGTTTACAGATAAAGTTGCTAATAAATGCATTTTTTATGTGACATTTTTTTTTCCCAAACATTTGAAAGTTTATCCCATAAGTAGTGCACCATAAAACTGTCACTTTGAAGTTTGCACCTCTTTTCTTGATAGCGGATAGCATTAGCATAAGGATGTTTTTACGTGGACTTTTTTCAGTTCCAGACTAGACTAGACTTAAACAGACTAGATCAGACTAGATTTAAACAGATTAGATTAGACTTGACTTTCGTAGTTATATAATACACAGAGACCAGACGTTTACTAGACGAGTTCAAACCAGATCAGACCAAACTTAAATAAACCAGACCATCAAATTACAGTCCAAGTAAAAACATCCTAAGACTCCGAGGTACAAATTAGGGATGAGCCAGTCCTGGAACGACGGGTTCTGATCCGATCATGTGTTTAATATTTTTCACTCCTCACCCCTACCCAGTACAACTGTAGGTTTTAAAACAGAAAAATAAAAATCAACGCGGGTAATCCGTTGCCCAGATAATCAATGATAGAAATTGTTGCCCCAGAGTCAAGAGACTGAACTCCAATTATATTCATAGATAAGCAAGACTGAACCCTGACAAAGAGTATAAATAGCCTTCTAGTAAGAGACTCAACAAAAATCCTAATTGAGCCCAAATTAATTAAACCCTAATTAAGCCAACATTAACTCTGCTACTACTCTACTAATAATAGGCCCAAATTGAAAAAGGTAACATAAATTTTATATTAATAAATAAAACTATAAACGCTTTCAACGGCACAATAGAGCAAGATATGATCGCATTAAATTCTACACGAGTTCGTAATGATATCAGAAACATTTGTGAATATATCGTTAATCTGTAAATTTTAATTAATGCATTGTAAATGAAGTTGGAACAATAGCATTAGGTTGTTTTTACTTGGACTGTAGTTGTTCCCAGACAAGACCACAGCAGACCAGACCAGACTAAAACAAACCAGACCAGACCATATTTTATTATTATTATTATTATTATTATTATTTTTATTATTATTAATATTTTTATTATTATTATTATTATTATTATTATTATTATTATTATTATTATTATTATTATTATCAAGGGTAATAATCCTAGCCCACAACCAACCCACGGAGGTTGGCCCACTCCCGTTCCCGCCCCTTGATCTCCCTGCTCTCTATCAATTCATCCTCCTTCGAAACAATCTTGTCCTTAAGGTTGGAATCCAGAAACCGGCTCACATTTGTCACTGGGGGCTGCCCAATATCTTTAGGAAAGCTGTCACTCAATACTTTCAGCCCGCTCATGAAATACCCCAAATAAAGACCGTCAGATAGCCTTGGGACCTAACTTGTTAGTTGAACAAAAATTGAGATGTACTCCTCCACAGTCCTTGTCTTCTTGACTCCGGATAGTGGTCCAAAACGATTGCCCTTAAACCGTGAGTCAAAACGAGCCATCAACGCCTGTGTAAGCTCATCCCATGATATGCCCGGCTTTCGTGCCATTAACCGAGTCAACCAGTATACAGCTAACCCTTTCATTGCAACTACAGCGGCTGCCACCTTCTTTCCCGGCAGAGTACAGTTCAATTCGAACTGTTGCTCAACCCTATCAACCCAGCCGATCGGGTCCTCTTCGTCAAACGAGTACAGCGTCATGAGAGAGGCGTTGCACAGTCCAGTTCCGAACGCGGATGCCACTGCCGCATCGAGTGAAGCTAGGCGGGTGGGGCTGGGTGGTTTGGGGGGTTGGGGGGTGGGGGTGCGGGGGGGGTGGGGGTGAATAATTTTAGAAAAACCAAAAGCTAAAACAAACCTAGATCCGACCCGACCCGTTCTGACTCCGGCCCGGTACCAGTACCAACCCGGGGCTGTAGCGGGCCTTCATACCAAAACCCAGTCCCACCCCAATTCTGGCCCGGGGCCCGGTCCGACCCTAGATCTCCTTGCTCTCTATCAGGACCTCACTCCGTTTTGGCTTGAAATTATTGCAATCAAAATAAAAGAATGAGACTTGATGGGGACCAAACTGACTGGTTCCACTCCCTAATTTAGGCCACCAGGGATCAGGATCCTAAAAACCCTCCCCCTGTTCGGGCTTTGACTCCAAACTGCAAGAAAAGTTCTAGTTAAAATTGCCCAATTCTGGTCTGGGCTGCTATTGAGACGAGCACTGTGTGCACCCCTTAGTACAACGCAGAACGTATTTCTTGGATTGGAAGTAGTCATGTTGCTGTATCAGAAATATAAATATTGAAGAAACACCATCAGTTAGTATCAGAAACATTTTCAGCCTTAGTATTATGCATGGATGCAGAGAGCCATGGATATTTTTATTACGGAGTATTCTGTTAAGAAAAAGTATACATTGCAGTACTACTCATGTCAGCGTATCCTGTAATAATAGCTGTAAATGTGTCCACTCAACATAGGCATAAATTAATCGGAGTATTTCGTAAGTTCCAGCCTAAGCATGAAGAATGTGAATGATCAAAGAACAATTGACAACCTTCTCTTGTTATTACAAAGATTTTACATGAATAACTATAAACTATACGTTGTTTGAAGGTATTGACCACACAAGACCCCCAACAGATGAACAAAGTGTGCAGTATTTAATTACTACTACAGGAGTTACACGTGCAACACTGAAGATGATGATCTTGTGATATATGAGAAGAGTTCCTTTGTTTTACCAGTTTATATCCAAACCTTTTGAAAGGAAAAGGTTGTCGATGTACTCGATGACCGGAGCTGACGATGCAACATAACTTCTCATGTGTATCATTGCTGACTCTTCTGAAATTGCACAAGGGTGAATAGAGAAACAGTCATAATTTGTAAGAAAATGAAAATTTTCACCCTAACATATTTCTACCCCCTCCCCCTAAGACCGGGACAAAGGAGAGTGGTGCGGTTTTTAAGAAAAATAAAGTTATGTGGTTGATAATGAATTGATAAAGTGAGAATAAAGAATGAATGAGAGCCACGGAAATATTACTGAATATGGTATGAGACAAATTTAGTGGACGGAGGGAAAAGGAAAAATGGGACAATTATAGTGGGACGGAGGGAGTAGTAAATAATTTGCTTGGAATAGATACAATGCCAGACCGATGAGCAAGCATAAAGGTGCAAGCGACTTATATGTATGTCATCCTACATCAAAGTATCAAACAAATATAAAAATACAAACTCATATGTAAGATTTTGAGATCCTTCTGTTAAGGTAAGACTTCATAGAATTTAGCCTCAAGCCTTCTCCCTATCGAGGTTGACTTTTCAGGAAAAAACATCAATTCATGATATGATATCAGACCCTATTAAATCAAGCTAACAATTCAATCATGATAAATTTGAAAAATGACTGATCAACTCCAATTAGCCATCATCTTGCAAGGATGTAGAGCATACACAACATTTATCTAACATCTAAAACAAGAAACAACGCACTTAAAACAAACCATTGATGCTACATGTATATACCAAGCCTTATTCATATATTGCGTAAAGCTAGGTCAAATTAGGCATCTATTACCATTACACGAAGTCCTTAGTTATAATTTCAGCTAGTGAGGCAGTTGATTATAATGGATTGAAAAATGTTACTTCAATTGAGAAAAAAGATTAAAACTGAATTTGCCTCACCATCATCTTCATTGAGTTTTTTTAACAGCTCATCCTTCGTAGGAAGTGCATACATTCCAGCAGCTACAGCTAACTTTATTATCCGTTTATGATGAGGAGCAAACACCTGTGCATATGCAGTTGAAGCTGGACCCTTGAGAGAATTTTCTCTGTCAAGATAGGAAAAGGATGTAATGAATTTAACTTGTTCTGACATCAAATTGAGACATAATGATATGTTGCATAGTCTAATATCTTATATGTTGGTTTGTTATTTCATATTTTATAATATAGGAAAACTCAACAGTAGAACAACAAACAGAAAATTACTCCAAAATTGTTCCCGATTGTTCTAAAAAATTAAGTTGGGCGGGATAAGCACCACTTGAGCACCTAGCAGATTCTAGACGAGTGGTTAAAGGGAGTCAGAGCATACCCAGATGCCATAATTTGATCAAACAAAACTTTCACCATATCAATTCCGCGCTTCACCCTTAGCAGATTCCTTGTATGACTGCCAACGCTTCTCACGCAGTTTGCTTCAATGTCTAAGTCTATCATTACTCTTAGTGTTGCAATTGACTTTGATGCCTCAACTAGATCATCAACCTGTCACCATTTATCGAGGATACTCTACACTCATGTTTACATTTTTAGATATAAGATAAAAATAGTACTGTGAGCAACATTGCCAAACTACTCGTTCTGGTAGTTTCTCTATGCCTTGTATTGAGATTATGCACTCATACATAAATATGAATTACTAATAAATGGGTAACACTTCACCAATTGGATTATTGGATACACTAAACATACAAATGTTTATGAACCAAGTCGTACATCCAAGTACTGCTAAGATAACAGAAACTGGGAGAGCTTTTGTTATAGCCAGGAAAGCTCAAAACTTTCTGGGAATTTTAAAAAGGGGAAAGTTATTTCCATGTTTATGATACTCCCAGGTCTTTTTAAAATGCAGAAAATGACAGGGAAAGAGAATTTGATGGAAATTATGAGAGGATTGGAGTTAGAGAAAATGTAGAGGAAATAAAAACATTTGGTTCAAACTCAATATATTTATTCATTATATTTATTTTATAAATTTTGAGCAATCGAAACAGAAGCAAGGATTTAAATATATTAAAAAACCACATTTCTATGCATTCTCTAAGGTAAATCCAAAGAAAAGAAAACAACTTCCCTTAGCATTTTATTTTCTTTCCCTAGCTTTTTCTGGGATTCAAACATAGCCAGAAGGTTTGATCAAATTCCTTGTCAATGGTCCAGGGCAAACCTAATCCCACATTTAACACGTATGTGTAGCAAACCTAGCATACAAATTGATTTTAGGAGTATTAATCTGTTGATGGGTGGAATCATAGATTTTTCTATTGAGAAGTTAATTGAAAAGAGAGCAACCAAATGCCATCACAAACTGTAAGAAATGGATGATGATGATGATGATGATGATGAATATGTATGTACCTTGGTGACATAGTCAAGCTTAGCGAACTTGAAGGCGATGCCCAAACAGGCGAAGAGAGGGGAGACAAGAGAGCAGGCGCGAGAGAATGCGGCCACTTCGAGTTGCTGGTGCGATTCTTCAGCAGATTGGGAACTGATGGATTTTGAAAGGTCTAGGAAGGCCTCAGCCATCTTCCTCAATGGCTTTTCTCTGTCAGCCATTGAAGAATCGCCAAAGCTCTCTCTTCTATTCTAAAAACCACCTTCTCATCAAATTACTTGGATCTAATTATACTTTGGGGAAAATGAAGCACGATCGGTCGGACTAAAATCCAGGTATCGTTCATTTCAAAGTTAGTGTTATACGTAGTACTCCCGGCGGAGTACTACTCTTCATTTATCTTGTTTCGTTTATTTCTTTGATTTACTAAATTAAGGGAGAAGGTGGGAGCTTTTGTGGCACTGAGATAAATGAAAATGAAATGAAAATGACTAAATTAAGGGAGAACAAATATACGTAGTACTATCTGTGGAAACCGTACAGCCAAGTATTTTTTGTTATTTTGCCCAAATTTCAATCCTATTTAATCAGTTTTTATTTAATCCTTGTGTATGCTACATACGTAACATACGTATTTCACAACAGCTCATGGCCCAAGATTTCTGTTCATGTTATTTTCGTTTGTTTTTTTATATATTTATAATTCATAATTTATACAGTATGAAATTGACCCTTACAAATTTTGAATAAATTATTTAATAAATTATCTATATCTGTAAGAATTATAACAAATTCATCAACAATTTTATATTTCATGATACGTTGTTTAAGACAAGCTTTATTTTGTTAGTTTCATAATATTACATCAATTCACTTTTATGTTAAACATTATACTCATATTAGTATATAAAAAACTCATTTCAATAGTCCATACGTAATAATGTTCATATTAAAAAGTTATGACAGTTTTAGTGAGCATCAATGATATTGTATTGAGCATCAGGAGTCTAACAATGAGCATCACGATCTCTACTTCATATTTTCTAATTTACTTTCTTTTTCTTATTTTTCTTTTATAAAAAATTACTAAGTATTAAATTAGATCTATAATCATTTTCAATGAACTTCAGTAAGCGAATCTAATTAATTAATACCTAAAATATTTTATAATGCACAAATTAAAAAAAACTTTAAGTTAGAAGGTTGGTTGGAAAAAGGAAAAACAAACTCCAACATTAAATAATATTTTTTACTATGCATTTTAATAATAATTGAACGAACAATTAAAGCAAGAAAGTTGTTGTTTTCTGGAAGTACAAAACGGTTGTTAAATAAAAAAGAATAAAAAGTAAGAAGGAGAACAATCTCGGATTCGTATATCATATAGCTAGTTGTACGGTGAGCACCGTACAGCCGGCCCAACAAGGAACAAACTAATAGGCAGCTAAACAGGCCCATAATAAGTCCATACGTAACAGGCCCAAGGAAGAAATAGCAAACTAATTCGGTGGCATTTTTGTAATTAATGTGAAAATTGTGATTTTTGCTAAATGAGCATCAGTGTACTGTTAATGAGCAATAATCCAATTTTAATGAGCACCGTGTTATTACAAAAAAGCTGATATCACAACAAAAAAATGGTGACATTTTTGTAATTCACTTTCTTTTTCTTATTTTTTTATAAAATCTTCTTTTTATATTTTTCTTTTATAGAAACATATTAAATTATATCTACAATTAATCCCTGTGAAGTTCAATATGTGAATCTAATGTAATATGATATCGTTGAAATATGCATTGATATGACATTTTAAAAATGAGCATAACATCAGTATCGATTGAGCATATGAAAATAATTGAGCATCAAGACATTTTTCATTGAGCATTAAACCTCCTCTACTGAGTATTAAAAACGTGAAATTGAGTACTGATTGAGCATTCGTAAATTATAAAATGAGCATTAGTATGAAAATCATAAGTGTTTTTAGTTGAGCAAAAAAACAATCTCAAACATTAATCATATTTTAGATTATAAATTTGCATAATAATTATATAAAAAGTAAAGCATGTTAAAGAAAAAATAAAGAAAAGAAAGATCAAAAAAGAGAAAACAACAAAAGAAATGAAACTGAAAAGCAAAAGCGAAAAGCAAGAAATTGAAAAGCAACGAAAGAAAAGAGAACAAAAAAAAAACAAGAAAGAGGGGTAAAGCCTAAGCAGCCATCAAGGAAAAATACGGAAAAATGATGAAAGATAACGAACGGAACACAGGCGGCAGAAAAAGAAACCGAGCAACGACCATCAACCTAACCTTTGCACTACAACTTGGATTTAATTACAAAAAAACCCGGTTGTACCATGCTCTAGGTACAACCAGTTTACAATGTAATTTACCATATCTATGTCTTCCCACTTTGAAAGTGAGTGAAATCATAAATAGGGAAAGCGGATATTAATTATTGAGTATGATAGAAAGATAATGAAACTAGGGGTGGACAAAATGACAGAACCGGCATGGTGCCGAAACCAGACCGGTATGGTCAGAGGCGGCTTTGAGGGCAGTTGGGCCAGGCAACTGCCTTGGGCCTCAACTACCAAGGGGGCCTCCAAAAAATTCTACTCCGGTATTAGTATTAGGTGTTATTCGCAGATCGTCAATACACCAAGCGGCAACTGCAAGCAGAAATCAGCTTTATAGTTCACTTTTGACTATTCGTCCTTCATCAAAGTTGTAGCTAATGAAGTCTTCTATCCAACACAACTTGCAAAATTGGATTTGAATCATCCAATAAAAATATATGAATAAAATGGTGGAAGGTCGCATTCTGAAATCTCAACAGAGATTGTCTGAATTCATCGTCTGTTTTCACCTTGCTTCTCTCAGATTCTCACAATGATGTCTTAATATGATTTTTAGCCCTTGAAGTTGGATTTCATATGAAACTTGAATCATGTTTTTTGGATGTTCCTAAGAAACGATACGCTTGAACGATTGACAGAACGTCATCCTAATCGTTGTTTTCAAGCTCTATTCGTCTTCTTTTGATCCCGTAGCCAATTCTAGAGCTCTTTTGTCTTCAAAACTTTGTCTTTAACACCTCACTGATCTCCAATGCTCCTAATCAACTCTAAAATGCTTCTCAACTCGTCCCTATTGCTTCTCAAACACCGGTGCCAGACTCAAATTCCCTGATTTTGACTCCAAAAATACCAAAACTCGAACCAACGGCCGGTAAATATGACTTGAGCTTAAAATTGAGACTTATGACACCTTAAAGTTATGAAAAAACTATCAAAAGCCGATCTCAACACGCATCAACGTCCAACACAGACCGCTAATCGGCTACTGTATATATGCCTCACTGCCCGCCGTCGACATGGGTCCTTGGTTAGTGAATCAACTAAGACTCTTCAGCTCTTCTCTCTGAGTCTCGTTCTTGAAGTCTCTTAATACTTTTACAAGTACAAGTTTGCCTTGTGTTTTGAATAAGTTTGTATTTTAAAATTTATCCTTTTGAATATTACAAATATTATATCGTGGACTTTGAATATGCTTTTTTTCATAAGGCGATTTTTATTCAATTTATCTGATTTTAAAAGTGATTTGTACATAGTAAATATTTTTCGTCTGGGGCCTCCAAAATGCTCAAGCCGCCTCTGGGTATGGTACCGGACCGGAAAACGGGGTTTGAAATGGTTCTCAAAAAATTTGTCCCGAACCGAACCGTACCGGTTCCAAACCATGCGATGACCGGTTCTCATTTTATGAGAACTGGTACCGGACCGAATCGGATCGAATCGGACCGAATTATAATTTTATTAATTTATATAATTTTATAATTATATATACATGTATACCATATTACCATTAAGGCAGACTTTATAAACGGGTACTTCTTTCCTACTAATTTACCAAATTGATTGTTAGCATCTTATTTTATACTCCCTCCGTCCCGAAAATGTTGGCCAAATTTCCCTTTTTAGATGTCCCAAAAAGATTTGTCATTTCCATTTAAAGTAAGGAATATGTGGCTAAACTTAATTCTCTCTCCTCTGCACAAATTTCAACCACACAGTTTTTACTTTATTAATCCACGTGAAAATCAACGTTGGCCAACCTTTTCGGGACGGAGGGAGTAATAATTTATTGTGCTTAGAGAGTGGTGGTCGTGAACGTTTTGTTATTTATGTTTTGTACTATTATACTCCGTAATTTATATGAAATTCATTAACTATGTAATATGAAAATTGATAATTGTGTGAATTTTTGGATGATGACTAAGTTTTAATTTTTCGAAAAAAGTGACATTGTTTGGTATTGGTATGAAATGATACCAGACCGTTTGAAAGTAAAATCGTACCGAATGGGTTTAGGTCTAAGACCAAACCAAGCCGTTTCAATAGTAACAGTCCGGGTACGGGTTTGGTAAAATATGTTAGAAAATTGATGTAACGTACTACGAAAGTATGGCAGCGGAAGTTTAAAATTTTTCCAAACAGATCTTTCCTGATTATGACAAAACAACGAATATAACAATAATAACAGATTTGAGTTAGAACTTACAGATCTTCCAGCCTAGCGGTGATAATCCTTGACCTTTGGTATCCACGTGATTTCTCCTTTCCGAAAGAACGGTTAGATCTCCCTTAGAGAAAGGCTAGGAAATCTCTTCGCAGGGAAATAAACTGGTAATACTGAATCTAGAAAACTGGTCTACCAATTATGAAGGAGAATGGTGTATTTATACTAGTTCTAAACTAGTTTTCCGATCACAATGAAAGTATTTCTCATTAATGAGTTCTAGTCCTACCAGGACCAATACTTATCATTAATGATTTTATTAATTAAATAAGTAAAACAAAATAAACTAATAATAATATCAAAGTGGCTGCACGTCATTTTGCTTGTTATTATTATTATTTATTTCATTTTCTATTTTCTTTTAATTCTAAATTATAAAAGAAAACACCAACTTTATTTAATTAAAATTACATCTTAATTAAGTATAATAAATCTAATTTATCAAACTTAATTAATTCTATCAAATAGAACTTTCCTTCAACATGATGAATTAAATATATTAATCTAATTAATAATTAAATCATCTTATTTTCAGCATTATGAATTTAATATTATTTAATCCAATTAATAATATTTAATTCCTTCTAAAAATTCAATCGGAATGTATAATCACTTGTTGTGTGACCCATAGGGCCTTATATATTATTAAGCACTAATCAAATTAAGGTCTTAGTAGAATCCCTAGACGATTTACCAGACAAACTTAATATATAAGGACGTTTGCGAGGACTATTCAAACTCCCTGTAATATAGAGCTCATAGTGATACGGTCCTTTCATTCAACGAACATTCAACTAAGTCTAGAAC